TTGACACTTTACGAATGGGCCTTAACAAAGATGCTAATTATCTTACCCATTATAAAGATAGCTTCCTCAATTATCACCCCTAATATTATTATCTCATAGACACTAACCCTCCCCATCCCCTCTCTGTTCTAAAATCTGATTTGTCAATTTTATATGTGTTTACTTTTTTTGATTGTATTCCTTTGGTATATATGGTCATGCCAATTTTCTTCCACAATTTGATCTGAGGAAGTGGGTCTGGCCCACGAAAGCTCATCACCTAATAAACCACCTTGTTAGTCTTTAAAGTGCTGCCTAGTCCTGTCTTTTGTTTCAGCAAGACCAGACTAACACGGCTACATCTCTGTTACTTTACCACAAAAGGTATCACTCCATTAGCTGCGAGCACTGTAGGGTTATAACAGAGCTGAGCTGATTCTACCCAGAAAGGCAGCAATCCACCCACTTACCATTCATTATAACACTTGAGTATTAAATACATCTGACTTTCATGGTTTTTCCACTGGTCAGCTACAGAGTTCACTTTTTTCACATGAAGGAGAGGGGCTGTGAAACAGGGTAAACCCTAGACTTGGCTGGCAAATGGTTTTGCCTGCAGCGATCATTAGTAAATTTCACACAGGAGTGCTGAATAACAGAGCAGAAAGTAACACAGAGCTCTTCCTGGGCTCCAGAGCCGTATCTGAGGATTAGACAATCTGCATGCCCATACATAGACATGCACTAAGCATCAATGTCTTTTCCCAGGGCCAGGAAAATTATTAGTAAGATGACAGGGCTGGAAAATTCCTGCTAGCAAGACAGCACAAGATGCAACCAGTCCTCACCATTCCAAACCGATCAGTGCCTCTGAACAGTGTATGGTTTGATCTGCATGACACAGAACAGTTACATTCTTTTTTATCCCCCAACATTTCTTCTCGTAATGCTTCTGAGTTCTTGCATTTTTCACTTTTGTTGCAATATAACCTGGTAGGAGACTCTTCCCTGTGCCGGTGGCAGCTTAAGAGAAGGAATGCAAAGCTTTGCTTCTTGGCAACCATTCTGGCCAAAGAACCAGACTGGTTTTCAAGCTAAAAAGATGTGATAAGAATTTACATGCTGGCACCAGAGAAAGGCAGCTAGAGGCGTGAAGAAGGAGGTGGTGAGGTTACATAGTTGTATTCCTTTTTGCAAATATTGTCATCCCATCCCAACTCACACATGCTTTCATCACAGAGAGGGGGCTACTCAGTGTTTTTGATAGAGATATGCAAAATGTTGCCATTTGGTTGCTCCTGGTTACATACCAGCATGGTATTATGGGTCAGAACTCCCTGTTTGCTCAACTTGTGAGAGCCAAGAATATTGCAATTAACACCAACTCAAGCATGCCAGTGAAACATGCTTTCATCTGGATAATCCAAATCCATTTATGCATCTGTTCTAGAAGCACACAGAAATCTCATGCATGAGGCTTGGGTCCCATGCAAGAGGTGCTTCTGAACCAGAGCTAGCTGAGCTGAGTGAGTAATTTGGCTGTATAAGAATTTTGCTGTTGTACTTTGGTTTTCCCTTCCTTGAATCCAAATGAAGCTCTTTTATCTATTGCACCTCCTGAATCTTTTTCCGTCACCAATGGCTCCCAACACACTCTGAGTTCCCAGTGTCCTGGTGGTATGTTCCTATCTGCCCTGCTTCTCGTTCCCATAAAGGAAAACCAGCTCATTTTGATTATTTACAGCTGGGAAAATATATTTTACTTTGTCCAAGAATCCCAATTAAAAAAAAAAAAAAAACAGAGCAGAAATTCTAAGTAAAGCAGGATAAGAGCTCAACGAGTCCCATGTAAAAGCCAAAACTTCATCTTTCCAAAGAACAAAGCAGGCGCGACACCCTGGTTGTGAACCTCCTGAACTTGGCGATAAGGATTTTGGGTGTAGAATCCAAACTTTCCCCAAGAAATTTGAAAAGGGGGTTGGACAAGCTTTGAGGAGCCATGATTTGGGTTTTGGTGTCCATCTCTTTGATCAATGAAGGGCAGCACTGCTAGATACTGAAATAAATATGGCGTCAGAGAGGGACCTTGGAGATGGAAGTGACGAGGATTGTATGGGATTTTAGATAGACAGATAGATGGGGGTCTGGAGATAGACGAATGGACAATTCGTTAGTCTCTCTCAGCCAGTGGTACGAGTACCCTTGGGGGTACTTGAGAGAAGTCTAGGGGGTACGCTAACACAACTGACATTTGGAGAAAACTGAATTTTTGTTTTAAGTTTTACAGCATTTTATTGTTTTTATATTTTTTATATCCACAAATTTCATTTCCTACCTGGCTATGATTAAGTTGTTTAAACAAATGTGTTGCAATGGTAGAAAAAAATTGTGTGTCTGAAAACTGTAGGTACTGGAGGTACTTATTTTTTTTAAACGGGCACTTTATAAAAAAAAGGTTGAGAAACACTGTACTGCAGGATGCCTGTAGATCAGGGATTTTGTTCTTTGTTTTTGACTATGAAAGGCGCTTGAGACATGGCGCTTGACAGAAGATGCTAATAGGCAGGACTTGACAAACGGCGGTGAAAGCTGCTTGCCAGCCCCGCACTGCGCATGCACAAGAGCCGCATTGCGCATGCATGCGCTGTCGGTAAACGGGGCGCGTGGCTGAAATCTACTCGCCACAGACGAGTAGATTCTCTAGTTTGTCGAGTCCTGCTAATAGGCATATATTAATGTGACTAGCAGAGAACGTAAGTAGGAATTGACACCAGGTGTGTCAACATTTGAGAGCTACTACACTCAAATGGCAGCAAACAGAGCTCCCTAAAGGATGCTGTTATCTCAGTGAGCCAAACCGCAGGCAGTGCATTCACTATTTTGGAAACCATGGGAGGGGTGGGTGGGCACAGCCTGCCCACTTCTTAAGGTCCCTCCCCCAGCCCTGCGCGAGGGACGACTAGACCCAGGGTCCAACTAATTCTGGGGGAAAATAATGAAGAACAAGGTCAGGGGGTGCGGGTCACAGGTTTAAAACAAGGGAGCCGGATGGGGACACCGAGCAGAGAACCCCGGACAGCGCCCACTGCTCCTCAAAGCTATCGATGGAGCCAGTGGACGCCACCCAGAGGAACTCTGCCTGGATACATGACACTAGAGAGGAACGGAAGCAGGCCCCTCAGTCGCAGAGAACCCCCTCATCCAACATCCTCCTCCTGGTGTCATATATGGTGGCCATAGCCAGGGCCAGAAGGAGGCTGATGAGGAGGTCTCGTGACTTTGTGCATTCAGAAGAGCCCATTCAACAGACCAAGTTCATGCTTGGTGTTAGCTCTTCAGAGGTTAGTGGACATGCAGAGCTGAATTTTTCCCCACAGGATTAACTGAGAGACCAAAACATGCATGTTTTCTTTAGTTAGTAATTTGATCTACTCCCAGATGTGCTATGCTGGACTTCCTGCCTACAATCTGATCTGAAATATTTTTGAGCTATTACCATCATCAAGGAAAATACTGAAACAGGAAACATCAAAATGCTATTGATAGTCATAATCAAACACACAGCACAAACAGCATTTCCTTTATCAGAACCACTCATGCCCATTCAAAACTCTACATTTACATGACCCACAAACAGTCAGAGGCGTATGCAAAGTTCGGGGAAATTCAGGTACATAGCTCCCAGTAAAATAAGGTGGTCTCATAGGGAACCAGATACTCATTTGTAAGGCTAGGAATAAACTTGCATGATACCTTCATGGCTTTTAGATGTCTATTAATATAATGAAGATCATGAATCAGTGTTTCATTCATTTTGTAAAATGGAGATCCTCTCAGGAAGTCAGCTACCTAGCTCTGTATGCAGATCCCATTACCACTGTACCAGAGTACTTAGCTCTGTAAGTTGGATTCAAACCCACAATCGTAAAATCACTAACTAAAACATGACTGTAAAATCACTAACACTAGACCAGGACCATGAGCAGATTCTCCTCGCAATCTTGGATACTCAGAGGCTACGTCTACACTGGCATGAATTTCCGAAAATGCTTTTAACGGAAAAGTTTTCCATTAAAAGCATTTTCGGAAAAACACGTCTAGATTGGCAGGATGCTTTTCCACAAAAGCACTTTTTGCAGAAAAGCGTCCGTGGCCAATCTAGAAGCAGTTTTCCGCAAAAAAGCCCCGATTGCCTTTTTCGCGATCGGGGCTTTTTTGCGGAAAACAGTACTATGCTGTCTTCACTGGCCCTTTTGCGCAAAAGTCTTTCGGAAAAAGACTTTTGACAAAACGGGAGCAGCATAGTTTTTCCGGAAAAGCACTGATGATTTTACATGAGATCGTCAGTGCTTTTCCGGAAATTCAAGCGGCCAGTGTAGACAGCTGGCAAGTTTTTCCGCAAAAGCAGATGATTTTGCGGAAAAACTTGCCAGTCTAGACACAGCCAGAATGTTTTGTAGTCCCCAGGAACTAGGCTCCAGAGATCATAATTTTAAAATTATTTAGGTCCAATTATGCTCTCACAAGGTTCATGTGTTACTGCTCTGGGGACATGGGGAATAGGAAGATGCAGCTTAGCACATTAGCCTTGGCTCTGCTCTTTCTTCCAGCTTAAGTCCTTTATGAACTACTGTGATATCTGTGCTCCTTTGGGGCAATGTGGACCACAAAACCCAGGATGAAGCATGAGGGGGAAAAGCATCCGTGCCAATCTAGATGTTCTTTTCTGCAAATGCTTTTAACGGAAAAACTTTTCCGTTAAAAGCATTTGCGGAAAATCATGCCAGTCTAGACGTAGCCATACTGTTGCCATCAAAGTACAACACAACACCAATTGCCCCAGTAAGAGCCGATCTTCTCAGTGACTTACCTGCCAAATCCACATCTGAAGAAGTGGGCTGTTCCCATGAAAGCTCATGATACCAGCTATATGTTTCGTTAGTCTAAGGTACTGCAAGACTATTTGTTGTTTTTAAACATTTCCACTTACAGACTAATTCGGCTGCCTCTCCGAAGCTTACCTGCCGACTGTCAGGGTTATGTCATCTATGCAGCTCTTGATTTTGTTCTGTGCTTCTAAGTGTGTCATGTTTTCGGTGTTCTCTCCATCAATGGCCACGATGACATCTCCTATGCATAAATTGGCTAATGCAGCTTTGCTGCCAGGAGTCACCTAGGAGAGAATAAGAAGGTAATAATCCAAGGGAAATTGGATTTTCCATACCATTTCTAGTCTGAAAGTGAGGACCCAGACATTTCAGAAACAATTGACAAAGTCCATAGTGTGGTTTGTTTGATATCAAGGAATTGGAGTGGGGAAGAATGGAAGAAATTAAATATTAAAAAGATATGTTTTAAATAAAAGTGAATTTGGGCTAAGGCATTTAGGGTATGTCTAGACTGCATCCCTCTGTCGGCAGAGGGATGCAGATTAGGCAGGCTGACATTGCAAATGAGGCAGGGATTTAAATATCCCGTGCCTAATCTGCATAAAAATGGCCACTGTGTTTTGCTGACTCGGCACTTTGTCGACAAAAAGTGGCAGTCTATAGGGGGATCTGTCGATAAAGAAAGCCTTTTTTGACAGATCCTGTAAACCTCCTTTCAGGAGGCATAAGGGATCTGTCGAAAAAGGCTTTCTTTCTCGACAGATCCCCCATTAGACTGCCGCTTTTTGCTGACAAAGTGCTGAGTTGGCAAAACGTGGTGGCCGTTTTTATGCAAATTAGGCACGGGACATTCAAATTTGCAATGTCGACCTGTCTAATCTGCATCCCTCTACCAACAGAGGGATGCAGTCTAGACATACCCCTAGGTCCAGATGCCAATTTCCCCCAAAACCCAAAGTATTAAGAATCCAGGGTTTTGCTCTGAACCATAGATATGTGGATGCCATGTTTATTTCTCAGTCCAGGTGACGATGGAAAGCAACAGAGAATGAACACACATACAAGAGAGAAAGGACTGGAGCATGCTCAGCAACTCACTAATTCTGCAACTAAACCACAACTGCTCTTCACCATGGAGAGCCTCACAACTGGCAATTAGGAAGGCCAGCTCCTTGGAAACAGAGAGAGGCAACCCAGAAAACACACTGTAGCAGAAGCATTACAGAGAAATGTGCACCACTGAAGGCAGCTACACAAGTTCAGATCTTGATCATGCGCTTACAAGCAGTTTCTCAGAATCTCTGGCTGCAGCTCCGCTCCCAGCATGGATCTGCTGTAGGGCTGTGTCTCTGGCTTATAACAGGGACTCATCCACTAATGTGAGCCATCAAGTACCAGCAATGCCCCTCTGCCAGGTCTATTAGCCAAACGACCATCTCTGCGCCAAAGGATAAATGGACGCAAATCAGACACCAGGAATGGTAACACACAAACCTCTAGGGCAACATTTTAACTTCCCTGGACATTCACTAATGGATTTAAAAGTAGCCATCCTTTTACAAAGAAACGTATCACCCAGTTACAGAGGGAGAAAGAAAAACTGGAGCTCCTTTTACAAGTTCAAGAGTATCAACACAGGTGTCAATAAAGATTTGAATGGGATAACACGCTATAAAGGCAATTTCCCCCGCCTTTGAAATTCGCATTTCCACGCCATATGCTATCAATGATAAACATCAAGCCTGACTTAATCAGCTTCATTAACACTGGTCCTACAATTGACAGGTAACTGCTTTTGCTGTTATATATACCCTGGATTCTGTCATTTCCACTCCAACTTACCAGAACTGGGTTTTACCCATAAAAGCTCATGATCTAATATAAGTGTTAGTCTCTAAAGGGCCACAGGACTGCTCACTGTTTTTAAAGTTACAGACTAACATGGCTATATCTCTGATACCCTCCACCAGGAAACAATTATTTATTCTTTGATTCATCCTACTTTTCAGTGTGCTGGAACAGCTATTAAGTAGCTGAGCAAGCCCAGCTGAGCTGTCAGGCATAAATATACATTGTTTATAAGTTTTAGAGAAAGCTCCTAGTATAGGCCTGCAAGCAGAGAACATCCCTTGGGACAGTGAGGGAGAAAACCTTACACTGATGTGCATCAAAGTGTGATGGGGAAGCAGGATCCAAAGGCAGGAGTCCCACCCCCTGCACGAATGCCAGGCTGAGCCCCTGCGCCACGAAAAGCAAGTGGCTCTGCTGAGCTTGCTTGGCAGCCACAGGAGACACATGCGCAGTGTGTCCCAGCCCAGACGCTCCGGGCAGAGGCGAGGAGCACATGCGCCGGTGTCCTGACGACAGGGCGCCGGGTTTAAAGGAGGGACAGACCCGAGCAGGAAGAGGACTGACAGAGCTGAGGAAAGGGCAACAGCCGGGACTGGAGCAGGAGCCAGAACCGGAGCAGGGGTCGCAGAGAGGGAAGGAAGCAGCCCAGGACAGGGCAGGACGTTGCCTGCAGACCGATGAGTTTGGGGACAGACTCCCTCACCGGTCGAACGGGGATCGTCAGAACCTGTTCTTAGGGTCCTGGGCTGAGACCTGGAGAGAGGGCGGGCCCAGGTCTCCCTTCCCCCTTGGCAACCCGGCCCTTTTTCGGATCTGACAACTAGGACCTGAATCCTTGCCGCGACTCGAACTGCATCACCCCCATAGCTTGACCTAGACACTTGACACCAACCCAAGGTCATCAGAGGTATTACAGTTCTCATGTACCTGCCTGCCACTTTAAATTACTTCAATAGGCAATATATTCCCATAGTAGTCTATTGCAGAGCTAATGAAGTGGCCTATGTTCCAGGCCCAGAAAACATCCACTGACAAATTTAAAGCCTGTCCCAAATCAAAACACCCCCCATCTTTGAGAGAGAGAGATCTGGATCTAAACTGTGCAGCTGGGTGCATCTCCAAGGGCTGCTGGTGAACTGACTGAGCCTTCCGTGGAAACAGGGATTCAGTATCCCTAACTCAGCCACCAACTTGCTCTGTGACCTTGGGCCGCTTTATGCCTTTGTTTTCCCAGCTCTAGGATGGGGAGATAACGTGTTCCTTGCCTGGGAATGGGCACTGAGGTCTACAGACATTGCCAAGTTTTCTTTTTATTCGCTGTAAACCAGATAATATTCAACGTGGTTACAAAAAACAATGCACTAGCATGACCAGTGCAAGAGAGCCTCAGCCGGGACTAGGCAGTTTGCTCTTCCTCCCAGTACAAGCTCATTTCTAAGAGCCTCTCACCTTTGCTTGCATCCAAAATCTTTAACCTACAGAACTGATGTCAGCCAAAGACACTGACACATGAACCTGCAGAGCAAAGCCCAAGGGGGCTGAGCTAGTGGAGGCTGCAGAAAAACGTGAGTTGTGGTTGCTCTGCACGTGAGGTGCTGTGTTACCCTCTCTGCCAGCTCAGGGAGTCATGACATCTAGCATTGTTCTGCACAGGCTCACAACTATTTTGGGCGCAAGGTGGCTGATGCAGATCCAGGCCCAAGACTAACACATCTCACCTAAGCAGAAGTGATAAGGTGCCTAGTAAAGAGAAAAAAAGCAAACTTTCATGTCCAGTCTTTTCAAAGCACATCTGTCATTCTGTAAATCACTGGTGACATGTGAGGGGGGCCTAGGGACCACAGGGCCCCCAAACACTGTGAGTGGGAGAGGCGAGGGACCAGAGCCTCAGGGCAGCCCGGGAGAATAATGGGGGAGGCCTGGCACCCACAGCAGGGGTTAGGCCTCCCCACACAGCAGCAGTGGAGGGAAGTGGAGCAACATGGCTATGTTGCTTGGGAGAGGGGGTGGAACTGCTCACAACACTCCCCAGTGGGAAGCAGAGCGACATAGCTGGGGGAGCAGAGCAAACTAGGGCTGTGGCACTCTGCTCCCCTCACCACTGCTGATGAGTAGGAGGGGCCCGACCGCTTGGGAGACAAGTTGTGGTGGCATGTGAGGGGGGTCACATGGCCAGTGCCCCCCCTGAATCTTTCCTAACCACTTGCATGTGCTGTAACTAATGTTTTGCCCTGAAACGTAACCTTCACTAAACCCTGCACCTCATTGCTTCCACCCTCTGTGCGTCAGACCAAATGTGTCAGCACTAGCAGAGGAGTCTTGCAAAGGGGAAAGCCAGCCCCTCCTTCCTGAGTGATTAGTGAATAGCAGTAAAGCCTCCTCTTCCTCTGCTTGGCTCAGCTGGCAGGATCTGTGCTGGGCTCCTCTCCCTGCTAATGCTGCCTTTGAAATTCTCCCCATTACAAATTAGGCCTGTAAAGTTACAAACCTTCCCAGCTAGAAAAGATGTGTGTTGAGTTGCACAGACGAGGGGGAAGCAAACCCCTTGGAAGAACACGTCCTCTCAATTGTGTCAACCAATATCCAACCTGCAAGTCCCAGGGAAAGGGACAACCAAAACTCATTGGAGCCTAGCATACAGCTACACTCACTAGCCAATCAGAATTCAGTAGGGTCACCAGGTGTCCAGTTTTGAACCAGACAGTCCAGTATTTGAGCCATTCTTATGTTCTGTGCCTTGACCATAAGGGATAGGCTGAACACGAGACCCTGGAGGGGGAGAAGAGCGCAGTCACCTTGCGACATGTAGGTGATATTCTTCTGGCCAGTTATGCCCTTTAGTCATGGGGGGGCTGGGGAGAGGAGATTTGGAGAGATTAAAAGAAGGGAAGGCCACTAACCCTCCCTATGCTGAGACCCTTCTCAGAAGATGGAAAAAGTTAGTCCAGGTGAGCTTCCTGTAGTTCATTGGTAATATTGCCCGCTGAAGATGAGCATTCTATTTGTATTAGACACTGAGAAGCCTGCACAGCTCTAGTAACAATAGCGTTCAAGATTCAAAAAACTTTATACCCCTGAAGGGTGCCTAAGCGCCTCTTGAAACAGGCTCGTGTATGTCAGCTTGTTTGTTCCGAGACAGCTGTGCAACACCTTCACGGTGGGTCATTTCACAAAGCCAAGACATGCTGAACATAAGTGTTTAATCATGAAAAAAAAATCGTACATTTAGGGATGCAGGCAATGAGTTTTACTGTAGATCACTAGAAAAACTATTAATAGAATATCCCAATGCTCTGCTATAGACACAGTAATCTAAAACCTATAGGTAGGGTCCTGCCATGAAAAATACAGTCACGGACCGCGAAATTTGTTCTTGTGTGTGCTTTTATCTTATATGACACTATTTATGTGTGGGAGACCAGTGTTTCTCAAA